TGACTTTATTAAGTTAAACATTTAAATATTTCAACCTCTTAAAATTTGTAAATTGGGTTACGATTGTTCTTTATTATCATTAAAATTGAATAAAACTTTTATTCATGTTTCCATTGCTCATTTAAACTGGTTAAATTAAATGCAATAGAAATGATACGAATTGCATAATAGACAGCTTTTCCCTTAACCCCACAAATGTGAACCCGCCCACGGCCATTATTACCCATGGCAACTTTATGACTCTGTTGTCAAAATGTTTATCTAACACTTGAGAAGCGTTGTCCATAAAATGATAGAAAAAACGCATTAAGAGAGCAAATAAACTTTTATTGAGATAGAATTCTCGTTACTAAAACAGATGTGCCCCAGCTTTATCCCCCCTCAAGCACCCCCTATACCACTATACCCCTCAACCCCTCGGCGAATGGGTCAACACTCAAGTTGAACAAATAGCCAACGACCGATCATAACGAGGTTGAGGGGATGGAAGGGTCCTCCGCACTTGTATATGTAGGGGGAAGTAGAAGAACCAACACAAGCAGCTTGACAATTGTTATATAATTATTTTATCATGGACAAAGGGCACAAAGCAAAAAGCGAAATTAAAAAAAAATACATCCAATCTTAGGTAAGAACATACCCTATAATAAAATTCGTAATATATCTGTATCTGTTTCAATTTTAAATTGGCTTTGTATAATATATTTTATTTATTTGGAGTGTTCAACTTTAAAATCTGTAAGCCTAAAATCTTATAGAAACACTTTGTATTTTTCTTATATTATTTCACATGCAGTCAAATAATTCTAGCCAGTTAGATACTTAGAAGAGGAAAGAGTTTCCCCCTTTGGGTTTTCCAACATGCCCGCGCAGTGGCCACTGAGTAGCGGGTAGCATAAAAGGAAAATTGCTTAATTTATGTGTCATTTATCTAAATGGAGCAGCGGAGCAAAAGCAATGAAAGCAATGAAAGCAAAGAGCCCAATGACGCCTGCTCCATCTGCTATATTATTTTTATAAAGCTCCGCGATAAGCAACTGTCAGTCGGTGCAATGAGGGCAAAGGGGTCGAAAGGGGCGTTGTGGTGCCAGAGTAATTAAAAATCTTCAACTCTCGTTGTTTTTGCTGTCTTTGCTGGCGACAATAATCGTCGGCAGCGAGTGGAAAAGAGACACACAAAGGGGCACAGCGACGGGCAGAAGAACATGCGATTAAAATTTTAAATGACAGTTGACAGTTTCATCATCAGCATGTGTACAAGAGTTTTACATAGATATGAGGCAGATAGTGCCTGGCAGGGCACAGGGGGTTCCAAAGGGTTAACGTCGACAGGAACTGGTGAGCAGGTGAAATGTCACATGAGATTGACTTCAGGCGGAAGCTAAAAACCAGAAAGAGGGCATCTGATGGCAATAAGAGGACCGTATGCATATGCTGGTACCTCGAATTGTAATATGTTGTGATGTTACACATATAATCACAATATTATTGCAATTCTAACGTTGCTAAAGAAAACTAATCTCTCCTAAGACCTTAAAGGAACCAGCAGTTTTATAAAATTTTCTAAATATCGATGAAACTAACGTCTGATCAGGAATTTGTGATTATGTTTCAATCTCGTATAAAGAAAAAGTTAGATAATTGAAAAACTATTGTTTCTAAGCTTGTTATTTACTTCACAGTCCACATCTAAGAGCTTACAATGACAACAAAAGCTGTTAAAAACCAGCTCTTAAAATGTGTGAAACTGTCACCTAGAGAAGAACATCTGGAAGCAAAGAGTCACTCTCTAATTGAAAACATTTCACCCTACTCCGTAGCACCGCTCTTAACCCTTTGTGTTATGTATGGTTAGAAACTAAAGTTAACTCACAGAAAATAATAATTAAGTGAAAAATGTTGTAGTACTGTTGCCTAAAGTAGTTTGCTTGTATAAAATACAAAGGTCAACTCCCCCTCTACAGAGTGCTTACTCAGTTTTGTATATTTCATTCAAGAGGTTACATACGAGTACTTAATGGGTTAACAACCTACTAGAACAAAGCTCGAGCTTTGTTTCGGTTGTTTTACCAACTACAAGTTGGTACCGGCATTCCTGTATTTGCCCAGCAGATTAACACCTTTGCTTTTGGCCAATGGACTCGATCTCAAATGAAATTACCAACCTGAACAAAGGAAACAAATGCAGCTTCTTCTGCATTATCAAATGCAATGTGGCATTGGCTAAAAATGGAATTCTGCTGTCTGCACTTCGTCAACGAAAGGAAAAGGAGGCAAAGGAGAAGAAGCCCTGACTGACTGGCTGACAGCTGAAAAATTCGCCCCACTCCCCCTCTATTCCCACGAGGAACCCGTTTCTCTCAGTGCAACATGCATTCCTCTTGCCATACAAAACAATTGACATGCATTGTTGCTGCTGCTGCTGTTGCTGTTGCTGCTGTGCTGTTGCTGCTGTGCTGTTGCTGATGTTGCTGCTGCATCTCCCGGTTCTTGGCAGCCTCTCAACTGCAGAGCCTCAGAAATTGTCACAGCAACTTGTGCCGCTTGCAATTTTCCAAAATGAAGCTGAAATAAGTGAAAAAATACAAAACTGGTTTACCAGAATGCACAGAGAAAAAAGCTGTTGTGTACATACGTATGAATTAAAAAAATTGATGTTGTCACAAAAAACCCCATCTTAATCAATAATTAACTATTAAAAACAACAAAAAATTTGGTTTTGAATGAGGCATTTATATAAAACTGATTACCAAACTGTGAGTAGTTTTCGCACTGTGTGGCTCTTAGCAATAAGGACCCGAATAGAACTGGTTCTGTGTATAGGCCCTGCTCTTCATTTATCAATACTCGATCGTAAACCGAAAGTCCGGTTTCTCTGCCTGGTGGATTTCATTTGATTTTGTTTCATTCGGATTGCAAACGATTCTCAGGCTCGGATATAAATTAAGATCCATATCGGAAGGGAAACTGGAACTGCGATTGAGTTGGTGGAAAACGAAAGAAGCCAGCGGCAGGTGGCATTTCGTATCGGGTTCGAAATGATCCCGAATCATATTCAGCCCCGGAATTGTGATTTATATTCAATAGTTATGTACGTGGGTTTAGCTCGTTTCTTTTATTTGGTTAAAATTTTCAGTTTAAAGGAATTCTTCTCTATAAATTCTTTACTCGGAGGATATTGCAGACTGCCTGCTGATATTTATTGTGTTCGTTTATCGGCGTTTTCCCGGTTCTCGACTCGCTTAATTTACCCAGTCGAGTCTTCACTCTCTCCCTCTCTTTTCTTCTAGTTCTCCCCTTTCTTTCTAGCAAGTACGGGCTCTTGGTTTGTCAGCATGACATGACTTTTATGGTATAAAGTTATATTTCAGGCTTCCAGTTGCAGATAACTTCAAAGGCAGGCGATTTGTAAAGGCGCCATCTGGTGTGGAGAATGTGAGTTCAATGGCTATAAATGTCAGGCCATCGATGGGTTAAGGATTTATGTAAAAGTCAAACTCATAAAAACCGGATAAAAATGTTTGGTGATTGGGAAATAATTTTTTGCAACGGAGTCGGCTAGGAATTTAACGAATTTCCAAAAAAAAATTGTTTGAACTTTAATTCCATAATCAAATTTATTAAAAAAAAATTTATTTAGGCAGAACCCATGTAACACACATTTCTTCCAATCAACATCCGGTTAAGACATATGCTTTCTTCTGTTATGAATGAAATATCAGCAGAAAAGTATTTAAACGTACTTTTACTATAGTTTTATTTGAGTTCCGAATAAAGTTGAGCACCCTCAAGTCCCATCTAAAAAAACTTAAATAAATGTGAATTGAAGCGCATTAATTGAAAGTATTTACAACTTAACGAAGCTTGTCAAATTTCCCAAGCGGCCTGAAAAATCGCGACAAATTTGCGCAAAAAAAAACATATACACCTAACTTCAACAAGGATCTAATCGATAATTTATGAGCGGAAATATGGCACGCCGAACGAATGATGAATTCATTAGGGGTATGGGAGATCGGGGGCGGGGCAGGTGTGAGCTGGGTATATTGTAACATGTTTATAAATAACGCTAATGAGTGGGGGAGATCGGTGGAAGGAGTTGGGCGGAGTTGGGCAGTGTAGCTGCTCGTAAAATGTTCAAACACGCGGCGCATTGACATTGAACTAAAAGCGTGGAGGGGCCATCGACGCTGCCGTTTGGGGTTATCGTTGGGTAAATATTTACCACGAAAGAGGTACATGAAATGGTAAAATTAAACATTGTTTATCTCCCCGTTTGCTTGTTTTCCCTGTCTGCAATCAACAGTTATTTTCAATACATATCGCTTGCAATTGTTGACATTTAATATTGTAGAAAATTTCAACGGTCGACGTGTTCACCTGGAAATGTTTTAAAGGGAAAGAATACTTGTTTGCTTAGCTAATGATTAAAGTGTCAATTTGGTTTGGAATATTTGCACCTTTCCTCCGTTATGGTTATTTAATGCATTTTTTGTTTCTTTTTTTACACAGGTTCTGTGAAAGTTGAGGAAATATACATTTTGTTTAAAATTACATGATATACATGATTTTTATTTATATACATTTTTTTAAAAATAATAATACACTATAAGTCAATCTATTTAATTAATATTTCAAAACAAATAAAATAAACAGCCACAGAAATTTAACTAAGTGGACTTTAAGATTGGTTTAGATAAAATAACTAAAATTAAGCCAATATCAATTTGAAAAATTGAAGCTGTTATTTTTCTTGTAAAAAATACGTGAATTTATTTTATTCACGACTTTTTGACTAGAAGTCTTCTTGTTTGAATATTATATTAAGATAAGATTAAAACCAGATTCTTAAAGGTAAAAAAAAGTCAAGCCAAGTGCCCATTTCTAATATTTTGAATTAGATATATGGATAATAAATAAATATCACGTATACAACTCCTCCTTTTCTCCGCTTCAGCATAGTATATAATCTTTTAATTAACATTTTTTTTTTCTTTCAGGCGACATTCTTTCTGGCGTTTGTTTCGTGGGCCAGCTGGACACGCACTCTTTGGGTGCCTTCCTGATCCTGCCCCTCTGCATATATCTCTCGATCGGAGCGTTGTTCCTACTGGCCGGATTTATATCGCTCTTCCGCATCCGGACGGTGATGAAAACGGACGGAAAGAGGACGGACAAACTGGAGCGCCTGATGCTGCGGATTGGCTTCTTCTCCGGGCTGTTCATACTTCCCGCCGTGGGATTACTGGGTTGCCTGTTCTACGAGTACTACAACTTCGACGAGTGGATGATCCAGTGGCACCGGGACATCTGCAAGCCCTTCTCGATTCCCTGTCCGTCGGCCAGAGCGCCGGGATCGCCGGAGGCCCGGCCCATCTTCCAGATCTTCATGGTCAAGTACCTCTGCTCGATGCTGGTGGGGGTCACGTCCAGCGTGTGGCTGTACTCCAGCAAGACGATGGTCAGCTGGCGGAACTTCGTGGAGCGGCTGCAGGGCAAGGAGCCCCGGACGCGGGCGCAGGCATACGTCTAGTATGAGACGGGTCCGGCGGGCGGGGCCAAGTCCACGCCCCTCACTCCCGACCCGGAGGCGGCCAACGAGAGTTACTTAGAGTTTAGCACATAGACACCCTGACCCGAAGTAAAACACTAGGCCCCCAAATGCAGTCGTAGTTCTTAGTGGCTTTGTATAAAGTTCATCATCTATGTCCGGAAACACAAGAAATAGAAGAGAAAATCAAAAGTTGACCCTAGGCTATTGTTTGAATTTGAAATATGTTAGTTAATACGGAAGCAAGCTTGTTGAACCAAAACTACTCATGTAAGTCGAGACTCTAGCTCTAAGTCGAGTTGTATTCTGTAGAATTTCATTGCTTTCGTGGTATACGAACATTAGGCATCTACGATCTTTCATTTTTGACGCGAGTTTTAAGTTAGGTTCTGATTTTTTGAAAGCTTTAAATGTGCCCTACAATTAATGAACGTACATATATAGGTAGTTATATGCGCATTCAAATATGATTTTGATTTGAATGTTAGGCATTAAAGGGATGCGAGCCCCGACTGTTTTATTGTAGGTTCTAGAAACCAAGGCTTCAAATTACATTTATTAGTCACAGAACAAAATATTTACACCCACACACACTAATTATGCATTATATATAGTATACAATCCATGCTTAAAACAACGGCAGTTCGGTGCTCACACCTATGCTTCATCTATGTATAAACAAAAAGGAAACCATAAACTATATAAATGTATTATGTAGCAATAAATGTCCTCCATGTGCTAAACTTAATGCAAATACGATTATTATAATTATAACTGTAACTCTAACTGTAACTGTAACTGTAATTCTAACTGTAATTGTATATTTGTTGAACTAATTAATTCTAAACGCATAATGAAATAATTTTTAATTCAATTTTTAAATGACGTTGTAGTCATAGCACTTAAGTGAACAAACAAACAAAACACGCAAACATTTTGTTGCCACTTTATGGAAATTTTTCCCCTCACCCCACTATTTAAGAGTTGAAACTGCCATTTAAATATTTGTAGACACATGAAAAGTCACCGAAAGTAAGAGAACGGCACACTGCTATGTTGGCCCGTTGTTGAGCATTTGTTTTCAGCGCATTTAATTGACTCCTTGAATTAAATTGGCACTAGAAGTACGTGAAATTTATGTCCAAGCTGATTTTTGTAGCATTTAAGCTGATGAAAATGCATATTAATTATAGCAATTAACGATAGTCGGTGTAACATAGCGAGTGCCCAGCGGCAAGAGAACAATTATAAGTGTATAAAACAAACATAAACATACAGAAAACCATGGAAGCATCCAATGGAAAACACAAACGGAAAATGAAAAAATAAAACCTTATTTTATTGTTAAAGACTGAAAATGCTGTGTATTTAATTCGATTGGGAAACTGCTCTGTTCAATTATTAAGAATCAACAGCACCAATTATTATTTTCTTGAACATCTTTCCAATTAATTAAGTTGCTTGCCGGTGCAATGTATCGATTGGTGTAGCAAAAAACAATTAGTAGATAAAATGACCTACAAGGGCTGACTTTTTTAGTTTTATTATAAAAAAAAGCTTATTACATTTGTTAAACGGATTGTTCTTTTATTTCGGTTTACTGCAAATTTAAAAAAAAAACATTACAATTATTTTTTTTTTAATTTCCTGGGTGGAGAACGAACAATTTTTGTTTAATTCCGTCATTGCTGTATGTTTCTCGATTCAGTTGGTTTAGCATTGGTTACATTTGGGGGCCATTCATTGATCGATAATGTCAAAAATATGTATGGCCATTTCCTTCACTTCTGTTGTTAAATGTGCCATCATACACATTTGGTCATCGTAAATCTTGAATAACGGCGGGAACTAAAATCATTGAAATTTAAAATAACGTAAAAATAAATAATTATGCAACTCCAAGCGAACAAGTGGTGGTAACACTACGGAATGACCCGTTGACTGAAGATCCTACGCAAATCGGAGTTTCGGGCCCGGCGCCTGCAGATCGGACATCGATGGGACCTTCTGATGGCAGTGCGAATGCAGATGCTTCCGAAGAGGTGTCCACATCTCAGCGAAACTACACGATGTCTGCCCTGCGATGTCCAAGGGGTGAGGCAGATGGGGCAGGTGATGTCCTCGCTCATCCTGTTCATCCGGTAATGAAGCGCATTCAGTCCCTCCCGCAGTTCGCCAAAGCCTTGCCTCAAAGCAAATGAAATGTGCTGCTGCACAGAAACGTGGTGCGCAAAATTCTGATGCAGCTGCTCCACGATGCTAAGTCGCTCTGTATTAAATAACGTCATCTGCGATCTAATCAGTTCCAGCCTGCGGACTTGGTCCTGCAGTTCGCCAACAGGCTGCTCCTGCTGTTCTGCATTGAGGATCAGAATTTCTAGATTCTGAAGAACTTTTAGCCTCGTCACCAGAGTGTGTAGATGGCCCAGGGCATCCGTGCTGTTCCACGACATTTTGTTTTTTGATGTTTTTTGATGTCAAAAAACTATAGACAGCTAGATTGTTTTGTTATTTCTATACCCGTTGACAACTAGATTGTGTTTTTTATTTTTATACTCTTTACTCGTTGAGTAAAAGGGTATATTGTGATCTTTGAAAAGAATTTAAAAGGTAGAAGGAAGCGTTTCCGACCCTATAAGGTATATATATCAGGATCAATACCCGAGTCGATCTAGCCATGTCCGTCTGTCCGACTGTCCGTCTGTATGAAAATCGAGATCTTGGAAACTACAAAAGCTGGAGTTTTGGGATTTCGCATGCAAATTCTCTAGCACCCACAAATCGCCAAACTCTTAACACGTCTGTCACATCGCTCTCAGACAAGTTAGACCTTAGCTGTTGTACTCTGTGTGTGTGCTTTGGTCATATCTATCGATACACACAAAAACATTATCGAGCTATAGTTTTAGACATTATTAGTCGTTCCTTCTTGTTTTAAATAAATATAACATAGGAGCACAAAACCGAACTTCTTGAAATTTGCACGAACCAATTGTACTTTTTCTTGCCAACTATGTGCTTCGCGGTTAAAAATAAAAAATTCCCGGTTTTAATCACTGACCATGTGTTTGGAATATGCCGATAAAGTTGAAACCTCTGATTTTACACAATTTCTGTGACCTTAATGAACACAACTTTAGTTTCTAAAGTTTGTAGTGTCGGGAATAGACACAATAGCATTAATATCAGAATTTTTCGGTATTAAATACTTTTATATCTATTTTTGTCGATTTAAAATGGTCTTGGCAACCTGTTTCATTAATCAGATAAGCATTGTCCCTGCCAAAGTTAGATAGTTTAGAGTTTTGTTTAATATTTGTTTAGTATTTGTTTAGTAAACGGGTTTTCAACACTTTTGAATTCTTAGAGTAATGCACCACGAGACAATATTCAATATTTCAAGAACAAATTTTAACTATATACAACTTACTTAATAATAATAATAATAACTTTCTTAATGCTCCGGCACAGAATTATGTTTTTATTTGATGAAACATATATAGAGACCGTATAAATGTTCTATGCTGAACTAGGTAAACTATTTTCAAAATAAATGTTCAGTTCACCACTGCACTCCCACATTTTCAAGCTCTTTGCAAATCTCGATTCTTCTCACCTCCCTTTTGTTGTTGACCTAAAACTTTTCCCATTAGAACCAACTACACATGTAAGCGGACAGACAAACTATGAACACAAAAGCAGCTCGAAATTCAATCATAACTTGCCAACACCGCTGGCCAAGTTCCACGGCCATTTCGCCCCTCCATCCGCCAAACATTTGAAACACATGGCCGTAAGCCTTGAAATTTACGAGTGGCAACGGGAAATCCACGCCCATATAATTTTGATTACACTTGTTTTCTAAATACTCTCCCAGAGAAACCGCAAAAAAAAATGAAAAACATCGGCAAAAGGAAAACACGCAGACAAAAACAAAAGCGTTCAAAACACATGTGTGCGGTGAAAAGGCCGAAATAAAATCGAGACTTATACTGTACTTTTTCAGAGGATGCTGAGGGTACACTTCACCAAAATTGTTTACTTATACTTTGTAAAAGCTTTAATTAATCTGTCGCATTCTTAAACTCAACTTACTATAATGGAAACAAAGAATATTTTTACCAATACTACTACAAATTTTGATAATATTTTCTTATCCTTACAGATTATGAAATTCAATTTTTGGCTTAAAACAAAAATATAATAAAATTTTTGTATAGTTTTCTGTATGTGTGGACTTCAGTCACTGACTAAGCTCCTTGGCAACAAATTGCAGTTAAAATTGGGGAAATAGTGGGATGAAAATCACTAGAGCCTCCCAAGCAGAGGGACATGTATTAAGGAAAATGTAGGAAGGATATGGCGATGTTGTACAAAACACGTGTGCGATTTAACAACTACAACAGCCATACAGAAAACTTTTTAGCAACACGGCCGAAAAAAATGAACAGAAAACTGCGCACGAAAATGGAATCCAATGCTCGGCGGTGAGTTTTGTTGCGTTTTTATGCGACCGCCATAAAAAAGTTATTAATGTGTGGGTTTCGCCAATGTGTGTTTGTGGGGGTGCTAGGAGAGGGAAAAGCTAAAGAGAGGGAACAGGAAAAGCTGGCTGCATACGGCCACAAAATGGCGCGGGCGTGTGCAGGCGTTAATGTGGCAAAAAATGTTTCTGAACCAGGACGTTTGTTCTGCAGGCCGATTTGCAATACACTCTAATCCCTAAAGTGAGCTTTATTTTTAGAATTAATTATTATGAGCTTAGGTTTAACAAAAGTTTACCGTTTCTATTTCTGTAAATATTTTTTTTAGAGCAAAAGACGTTTGATGTTTGAGGTTTGAGGTTTGATGAACTATACAAATTCTAAGCCAAATGTCACTAGCTTTGTATTAAATATTTAAATAAAAAAAAATACTTTTGAGGTGAATAAGAAATTAGGAACACTTAGTCAAAATGGTTAATATTATTAAGAACTACAAAAATGTTTGATTTTATATACTTATAATTATAATATTTACATTATTTAAAAGCTCATAATTTATTTAAAATTATCAAATTTGAAAGCAATAATATAACACCTATGAACGTAGTGTATGCCATTTTCGTCAATGAGCAGCTTCATTCGCCTTTTTTATTTGCAGTGCAGTTTTGTTGCCGCTGAATGCGGGCGTAAAATCATAAAGCAAAGCATATGAGTAGATGTGAAGTTACTAAAAAGAAACATAAAAAAGAACTCGGGGCAGTGGAAATAATACAGAAGAAATATTCGTAACTGTTAGCTGGGAATGTCGAAATGTGATATATTTGTGCGGCTGCACGTTCCTAACGAAGAGATTTGAGGTTTTCAAATGGAGCCAGAGCATATTTGGAGATTCTCATTTCTCATAAAGGGACGTAATCAGTCAACCCGTGCCTGTTGTTTCAAGAAAATAAGTTTTAAATAGTCAGTTGTTATTTTTATCTCTCTTTCCACATTATACAAGATGAAATTCTGGCTATTTTTTGCAGTACTGTCTCACTTCTATATCGGATGGAGAAACCCGCATCTTGAGGACTTTGAGATGACTTTGAACAAGACCCGGAAAAACGCCCGAAAGAATCTTATTGAAATGATCACTGCTCAAATAGATATTACTCTATTAAAGGCAAAAATCTTAACGGACTTGGTCAAAAAAGCTGTCGCCAAATACAAAGAAGAACGTGAAAAAAGGATGATTGCAAAAAGGCGGTTAAGGTGTCCGTAAATTTTCAATATTTTTCTACAAGTTGTCTTTTTTTGTTTTCTCGAAATAATGCTTTTAAAGCAAGCAAAAAACTTTAGTTTAATTAATTGCCAAAATCGTTACGACCCAATCGAGGGCGACCAAAAATTGGCTCAAACGGAAGCCGCTTTGTGAGCACCTGGGGGAGTTTGCAATTTAATTGCCATTTTCAATTAGGCAACTGCACAAATGGACCAAGGAAGAATACTCTGCAGTGTGCCGTGTAGTTTACTTAATTAATGTTTTGCTGGCAAGGACTTTATGGGGGATTCCCCGAGAAGGAGCGACACCAAAAAAAAAAAACACCTAAAAAGTATGCAACGAAAAAAGTTCGACGGAGGAAATTGTTTCAATCGGATTAAAGTACATAATTGACTAATGCAAGGCGACTATAAGAAGAACATGAACACAAAAAATTGTTTAATGTGATACTGGTTCTACAATATGCTCCCACATGGCCAAAATACCATATTAAATTTAACACATATGTATAAGCATTTTTGTCATTGCTTAAAACTTATTTTATCGATATAGCAGATAATTATGGTTTTACCAATTTATTGTCTTATATTTTTATGGGATATTTACACCACTT